TTGTAATTGTGAATATACTTGACTGTTTTGTCATATTTAAGTTTCTTAATTTTGCCTTTTTTCCCACAATTTAAATCGTCTAGCTCTGTTTACCAGTTTTTAGTGAATATTTAGTCTTTATACTGCATCATGTTGGAGTGTTTATTTGGGCTTTTTGTTTGTATTTCCTTCTTTACCACCCCCCATATAAAAATGTGATCATCCTGTTTAGTCAGTATTGGTGGTGAAGTATCATTTAACGTTTATGTTGCCGTTGATGACCAAGTCACAGGACCCTGATGAAATTCACAGCAAAGTATGTATCGTCCAGCGCTGCCATGACTGAATGAAAACTTTCACTCATACATTGGTGTTGTGATGTTTTCCATGGGTACTGAAATCCTGTCTGCTCTGTGAGGCTGTTATTTAGCTACAATCTACACAAACATATATAGATTGATTACATAGTGGTATATTTTAAGGTTTTTGCTTTTTTGTTTGTCGAGCTTGGACGCTAACTTAGTAAAACCCAGAACTCAACTTTCTCAGAAAATTGGAATATAGTAAAAACTAATAAAGGTTTTCTAATGATAAAATATCAGCCTATAACAAAAGCAGGTCTGCATAATTAAATCCAGCTGGTAATTCTTAGCCGAGGCCCTTTTCGCATGAACCTTTCCATCTGCCTGTTTCTCTGCTGAGCAGTGAGGCTCAGCTTTTAAGTCGTTCCATCTTTTGAATTGATACCATTACAGAATTTAGGTTTAGATGTGAGGTGGCAGGTCAGTAAAGTACCCTGATTCCATGGTTTTTAAAGGAGGCCGTTCTGTGTGGGTAGCAACTAAGTCCTTCTGGAAAATCTAATCAGCACCTCCATGTCTTTGAGCAGAGATAAAGAAGTGCACAGGCAGCACTACATTTAGACTTGATAAAACTATCTGCCTCTTTCTTCAAACTAAATTCAATTCAAAGTGAAAGACGAATTTGGACTTAAGGATTTCTCAAGGTAAGAAACCCCCGGAGTCTCTAGCTTTTGAAAGCCCTGATTTCAACCTCATTCCAAATCTTAATCTTCAACTCTAACTCCCAAAGTCTGCTGTTTTCTTTCTAGCATGTCAGCTAGTTCTAATACCTGTTTTCCTTCCAGTAAATGTTCCATTAACATGGCTGATCCATCACTCTGTAAAACCAGTGTTTTTAACTCATAAGGCACTCGGTGAAATACTTTGACAAGTCAAGAGTGTTATTGGAGGATAAGAACAAGACTTTGTTACTTTTGTAACAAAGTGTTTTTGTGGCAAAAATCACTTGCCCTAATGAAAAAAAAAAAAAAAATCCATAATGTTTCTATAGGAGATTTGGGAAAAAAATACTTTTTTCATTAAAAAAGAACCTGTAGGACATTAATACTGATAAGGGAGCTTGATTTTTTTTACTTGTGAACTTATTTTTTTTTTTTTAATTGGCTTTTTAGCCTATTTACCTAGCTATTTAAGTTTCAAGGCTTGTGAAGCAGATTTCTGGCCTAGTAGGTTAGAGCAGTGCGCTGATAAGGTTGCAGGTACCAGGTTCGATTCCCCATAGCCTCCACTCTGGGTTCCTGAGCAAGACTGTTAACCCCACACTGCTCCATGGGTGCCACACAATGGCAGTCTACTGCTCTCTCCAAGGAAATTGGTTTAAATGCAGAGGTAAAGTTCTCCAGTGTGAGAGCGATAAAGTTCAATTATTACTATATTATCTTTCTTTTGTTTTTACTTAAGTAGGTACCATATCCTATCGCAGTTACACTCAGCTTTTAGAAAGAGGCGTACCTTACAGACCTTGCAGACCACAATTGACCTCACGATTTGGCCTTAAGTTAACTTGTTTTTTGTTGTTTACCCTCATTAAAGGTATCAGTTGTTGCCTTCTGGGCATCTATCAACTCAGCCATCCCTCCCATGATCAGTTCCATAGTTTCCAATTTATTTTGGTCTTATGTGATAAAATATTCTGTTTTGTAAGACACTGCGGTTATTAATAAGACAAAAAATGAAAAAAATTATGAAATTGATACCCATGTAATGATTACTCATAGTTTTTAAAAATAAATTGTTAAACTAAATTAACTTTTCAGCAATTTTCTATTCCAACACAAGATTAAGTAAATACCTACCAGTTGTTTTGGGAAGCAAAACACAAGTTAGTGCCCTCTTCTTTTACTCAAAATGTTTACTGCTACAGTAAAATCATGCTATAGATTCTGTATTTTCTCCTTTACAAAGGTCCTGCAGCTCCTATTGTTTCTTTGAATGTTGATAAGCCCTTGACGTGGAAGACTCTAGAGGAGCGGGAGCATATTTAGTGCCCGGCTTTTTTATACTGCTCGTCTTTAGTCCCTGAAAAAAACCTCGGCCCACGCCCAGTGGCACACATACACCAGAGTTGCCTGCCGCACACGTGCCAACCAGTAAACCCTCTCACTGTGGCAGGAACAAGCGCTCCTGTATGCAGAGGAACAGCTGCTCTTGGTTGCTTTCTCACAGGTGGCTGCGAGCTCGCTTCTCCATCCCTCCCCTCCATTAATGAAACAAGCAGGCGTTTTCTTCTCTTTCCTGTGGACCATTAACTCTGTGTACTAATAACTGGCTCACCTTATTTTGCTGTGGTTGTGTCAGAGGTCTCGTTTAGAACACTAGAACACTGTACATAATATAATTATAAGAAGCAGTGGTTCTTCTTATTGTCTAGGTTTGTTTGTTATTCCTCTTAACAGATTTCTTATAACAAGTTTAACAGGACATACTTGGAAGTAGTGTGATGACATATGTGCAGGCTTATAGTATTTTGGCATCAGTACATCCTCTGCGCTCCAGTTGAGCAAACACACTGAGTCACAGTTTAGCAGGTTGCCTTAGGCAAAGTCCTACGTAGCACTGCATGTGCTTGTGACTCCAGCTCACATGTTGAGCTTGAAGCAGGGAAGTTATTTGTCTTTCTGATTATCTTGAATGCGGGAATCTTAGAGCAGTTTATGTGTGTAAACCATCCGGTGTGAGTCCCATTCACTCCTCTAATAATATTTTATCATCTCTGTGGTAACTGCTGGAAAAAAAGAGTAAATCAATGGAGCCACTGAAGATTTTTTTTTTTATTATTATTATAGGGATCATTGTCATTTGATCCTTTTTTGTCTAATCTCCAAGTCTTTCACAACCTTCTTTTAAAAGAAAACATGTTTTTCTTTAGAGTCATACTGGACCCGGTGTTCCATAACAGCATCAGCAGCGTTTACTCATTTTAGATTAAAAAAACATAAGACACCCCATCAGATAAGAGATTACTGCATTATGGTTTCTTTTGTTGTATTGAATTTTTTTCAGATTTATTTCTCTTATTTACAAAGTGTTACCTGTTGAGAGATATCATTTTAAGGTCTCCTCATCTGAAGGAGGCAAAGTTCTCTTGAGATAAAACCAGATTATGACTCTGGCAGTCCCTGAATTTATATAAATTATGATTGACTTATTTGAAATATTGTGTTAATCCTATAAATGTTTACATGACGATCTAAACAAGTCTTGAATCAAAGGATTTTGAGTTGCCCAACAACAACAAAATTGAGATAATTTGACACCTTTAAACACAAAGTATTTTAGCTGTGATTTCATGCTTTTCTTTTAATGTCACAATAAATATGAAGATAAAACCAGAGGAAAAATTCAGAAGCAGACTTGTGCACAGCCTTCATCAGATGCTGCTAGATAGAGCAAGTGTTACTGAAGGAATGTTGACAGGCCTTCTTTTTTCTTAATCATTTAATCCTAAAATAATATATAACTTAAGTTGGTTTTATCACAATATCAAGGCTTACGTTTTGTGTGTTTTTTTTTTTGTATATTAGGTAAAAATTTAAGGTTTTACAATAAAACATATTTTTGTTTTTATTTGTTTTGACCCTTGCTTGTTTTAAAGAAATATATATATATTTTTTTGTGCAGTATCCAGACTAAGTTAACAGACATTATTATCAATTAGCTAGCTTTTTTAATTTAAACAAAGCAGACATTGGTTCCTCTATAGCAGAAACACACAAAAAAGTTTTTATAGTGGTGGCTCCTGTGTTTTTTTGTAATATAAATTATTTTCCCACACTGAATTAACATACTAGAATAAAAGTTTTAGGGGTTTTTATAAAAAAAAAAAAAAGAAAGAAAGACAGAAGGAAAAATTTATTTGCAATCAGAAGCAAATATTAAGACATATTTTTTTACAATTGGCTTCTTTATCTTGAAGTTTTCTTTTGTATACGTCTGCAAACAATAATACTTAAAGTGTAAGGTGTGTCTTAATTTTTTTGTATATTTTAAGTCGACATTTTGTTTAAAGTTATAGGTAGAAAGGGCATGCAGATGACGCAGTGGTTAGCGCGCATTACCCATGTATGAAAGCCTTAGTCCTCGATGCGGCCGACTCAGGTTCGAATCCGACATGTGGTCCTTTTCCGCATCTCTCTCCCCCTCTCCTTTTCCCCTCAGCCTACTGTCGAAAAAAAAGCCACTAGTGCCGTAAAACCTCAAAAAAAAAAAAAAAGTTATTGGCAGAAAACATTAACAGATTTGTTTTCTCTTTATTCATATAATCTTCAGGTGGTAAACTGCACAAATTTTATTTTGCATGGAAAAAAATGACTATAAAAAAGATAAATCAGAGCATAAAATATCTAACTCAGCTCATAGTCATAATATTGGACATTCATTTGTAAAGATCATTTTTTACAGTAAGTGTTGAAGTTGTGCCTTTGGCATTGTGTGTCTGTTGGTGTGTAGTTCTGAAGTTTCTGTGAAGTAGGCCAGGACAATGTAAACATCTGGTCCAGTCCAGGCCACGCTGCCTGTTGAGAGCCATGACAGATGGGAAGGGAGTGCACGGCTCAAACACTTCCATCTTTGAACGTATCGCAGTTGTCTTCCCAAAATAGCCATCTCCTCCGCGCCTTATATGTGCAGCCCCTCCAGCGTGCGCCTGAGGGGGCATCATGTATCTAGGCCACACAAAGCAGGCTGTGGGTTCATTGTTGCGCCTACCAGCAGGTCTGTCTCTGCCCCAGGGACGAGGCCTCTCCACACATCTCCAGACTGTTCACCATGCATCTTACTCAGCTCAACCGTGAGTGTCTTCTCCACCTTTTCTCCTTCCTGGACAAGGACAGCCGCAGAAGTTTGTCTCTTACCTGTCGTCAGCTCCGGGAGGTCTACCTTGACCCCTGTCTGTGGAACCTACTCCACTTTAGCTCCCCTTGTCAGCTCAGATGGGACAACTATGTGCTTGGACCCTCATTGCGTTACTTAACTATATGCTGGTATTCCAGCAGAGTCCAACTTGTGTGCAACATTGAGGACTGGTTGAAGAGTTCATTCCAGAAGGATATCTGCAGCAAACATGAGAGCCTGGTCAGCACTTTCCTGGCCCATGTGTGCCACATGTGAGTATTTGTGTGTGTTTTTTTCTGCTTTATAAAAAGTAACAACAAGCTATGACACAAATCCCTTCCAAGATTATGTGAGGCCAAAATTCCCATTTGATCTGCGCTTCCAGTTACCACACATATAAAATGTTTATCTTTCATATCAGCCAAGCATAAGTTCCCTGTCTGCTGTATTTGGTCTCACAGTTTGGTGCAGAGAAGACATTTTAGTGCAAACTGAGGACAATCAGACCAGAAAGATAGACTGTTACTTTCAGTATTAGCTTGCAGAAATAAAATAGGAATGCAGCAAATGCACATGCAGCACAAATTATTCAACCAGTGAAAATAAATAATCTGTTAACATACAACTTATCATTGTATTGAAAAAAAACATACATTTTTTTGTACTATATATCCTAAATACATTTAGATGAATTGTTTTTCATGATTATCTCAAGAGTTCAGCACCTACGCATCTAATAATCCCAATAGTGACATATTTGTTTATATTATAGCCCAGTTTATGTACCATGTCCTATCGTTTAGTACATCCTTTAAATCATTACCAAGTTTTGCAATATTTTATGTTCAGGTTGATCACATCATCAGGTTTTTTGCTGCGTAAACATTAGATCAAAGATGCCAAATAAAGAAAAGGGTTGTTCTTTTAATGGTATTGAAACACACAAACCCTTGAAGCAAAATTTAAAAAAAAGGGGTTAATCTTGATCAAATTAACTTCAAATCTGAATTCAGACTCCACCTATTTTCACCTGTTGGTCTTGCAGCAGCTTTATAAAGCAGGTGAGAACAGGTTTCAGTTAAACCTCCCAATGCTTAGCTGGAGGAAACAATGAACCTTAACCTTTAGAGACAAATGCTGTACCCAAAACTGCCTTTTGAAACATAACAAAAACAGCATCTGTAGGACATGAGCTTAATTCTAAACCAAACATGACTGTTGGCACATGTATTATTATATTTACTGAGTGACGTGAAACTTGCATGTGATAGGTCTTTGAAACTTAGCTCTGTTGGCTCCTGGCCCTGTGTCTGTGGTCAGCCCCACGCAGGAATCAGCCCACAGAGGCGTAATGAGGTCTCTGGATAATTTCTTCAAGGCAGCCAGTAATAACTGCTGATGTAAGCGGAGCTCGGCCACTGTGCCATGCCAGGACAGAAGGGGGAGAGCAGGCTGTGCGTCTTGCATTGTGAAATTTGAGAAGCACGACACGAGAGCTGTGAGATGACTCAAAACCACCTCCTTTGACCGGAGGCTTCAATTTCAGTGCCTTTTAGGCCTATACTCTCCACATGCTGATAAACCCTCCTAAAGAGTCTGAAAAGGCAGAGGAAACTGAGCGCACGTGACAAAGAGGGAGGGCCGTGGGAGAGACTGTGGGAGTGATAAAGGAGTGATTTGGACACAGACGCTCCCAGTCAGCTGCAAACTGGAGATTAATGCAGGCAGGTGGAGCCTACAATTGGCTCTTTGTCGCTGTTTGAGGAACGAACATGTGCGTCTGTCTCTGCCCTCTTCCTTAACTCTGACGCCACATTTATGTCTATCTTTATCTTTCTGGGAAAACCAGTAAAGAGCAGTATGTCTAAAGACTTCTCTAAATTGTCGTTTTGAACGCTCCATTTAAACAGATGAATATAGTAAAGCTTTTTATCAGGGATTTATTTCTTATTATCCTTAGGGGTGGTATTAATTACACAACATGAGGATACATGTTTGGTGCACCAAGGAGAGTAAATTTGACAGTAGGTGGTACTTTTGAAACCTTTTCAGTTTCAAGAGTCCAAACTTTAATCGTCTTCTTTTGGTTAAATTGATGCTTACTCTTATGAAATCAGAAGAAGCACATCCTGTTCTTCTACGTTAATTATACTTTCTGCTGCCAGTATAGACAAAGGTTTAGCCGCACATATTTTCCACCTAAATCTGAAAGGCTGTAAATTCCCCAAACCCTGTTTAAGGGAGAAGCTTTTCATTTAAAATACTGACGATAATGATTGACAATAAATGTTAATCTAGCTTCTTAGACAGCCTCATGGGAGATTTTGACCAGCAAAACAGCTTTTAGTAAACCACGGAGCTCATTAGAGACATGATTACAGGTTGGTGTTTAACAGGGACCAGACAGTGCACTAAGCTGTTCTGTTTTAATTAGGACTGCATCATGTCTAAAACATAAACCGGGTGATGGAAATGTCGCTGACACTGCTAATCTGCTAATAATGGAGTTGATTTTTTTTTTTTCTAAGGTTTTTAGTGTAAAATATGAACAACTTTAGCAATTATGGGGTCTTGTGTATTAATAGAGGCAAAGAACAACATATGATATACTTACCAATCAATATTGTTTGTTATAAAGATAAATTAAAACTCATGATTCTCCCCTATCCTATTTTGCCCTCAGTTCAATTATCTACTAATGTTATTGCATTGCTATTGAAATTATTGTATAATCACAATCCTGCATTGAAAAGGGAAGAAAAGAAAGTTTAAAAAAATGAGATGAGCCCATTAATGGACCAATGGTTTTATAACACTATTGACAGGCTTTGCAGAGTAGCCATATTTTATTTTTTTTGCTAAATCGACTAATCTGTATGATCGGTCAGTACAAAAGTAGAGCATATTTCTGAAGAGAAAGTAAAATGATTCACAAACATTTATAGAAATAGTTTTTGCCTTTTCTTCTTCCTTACACCATGCCATTGTTCCTCCTCACATAGTTTTATTTTTTTTTTTATAGGTCATAGACTCTGGTCTCCTCTAACAGAAACACATCCTTGTTTCCACATGTTGCAAACCTAAAATATTATCACTTGTGGCTCTTTTTCGTTGCTTTTATGTTGTCCCCCTTTAAGGTTCTTTTCTGCAGCTCCTCCAGAGTAACTAGTATCTCTTAACCTCTCCTATAATGTTGTCCTGCAGGATTGTCAGTTCAGGGGGGGGGGGGGGGGGGGGGGGGGGGGGGGGGGGGGGGGGGGGGGGGGGGCATTTCCTGGTAGGTTTGTGGCTTTGCTGTCTTCTCTCCATCTATATGTGATGTTTAAAGCTTGAAATCTTTTTTAACGAGCAAATCCTTTACTTTATTCCTTTTACCTTTTCTTTACTTTAGAATTCTGGTATTAACTTCTCAACATTTTCTATTGCACTGGATAAGTCATATATAAGAGTAAATCAGTGACTTAATGCAACTGCATGGTCAAAAAATAACATCTTTTTTTTTGTCCGCCTAATTCTCAATTACAAGAAAATATTATAGAACTTGACAAGAAGTTTATTACTTTTAGAGGGTAGATATAAATCTGGGTAAGACAAAATGTTGTATGGAGAGATGTTTGGTAGAACAGATACTAACCCACACAAACTGGGAGTGTCAAAAGACAGCTGGTTATATAACAAAAGCTGATTTTTTTTTTTTGGGTTATAAAAAAATAAAATTCATTTATGGTCTTTGCTGAAACACATTTTCATTAGAGAGCAAACAAGAATCAAAAAGCTGCAAGAAGACTCTACTGCACACACCGGTCATGTTCCACAATGTCAATAGCATGCAAAACAGTGGTAAAGGTCCCTCTAAATGGCCTGGCCGGACACATGACCAAGCTGCTGCATGTCCAGAGGTTACTGGGGCAGCGCTCTCGCACTGCTGGAATATGTTTGGCTCACATGTAGGAAAAGCAGTAGGATTATGTAAGTCTTTATGTAATCTGAATCAGCAAACATGAATGACACCCGTGATCCGAGTGTCTGCCTACATCCTCTGAGGAGAAGGCCTGCAAGTGGGCTGCACTGCACTAATACCCCATTTCAAAGTGTTTTTTTTTTAAGTAGAGCAGAGAAGCTCCTTTTTTGTCTCGCAATGAACCTCCTGTAACTGGTCTGTAGAGTATTTATAAGTTAGAGAGTGGAAACACAAAAGCCTCAGTGGTACAGAGCATACAGAAAAGGATAGAATGGAGTCAGGATTAACCTATCATAACATCATGGTTTCTTTTTATTTTCTATTTATGCCTACCAATGTTTCCTGTGACTATTTCCCTAAATAGAAAAATTGATCTTAAAAAACATAAGCATTATTTACAATGGAATAGGTTAATACTAGAAATATGAAACTCCCTTTTTGTCTTGTATGTCATACTCTGTCTGCTGCCTGTGTGTGCTGCAGGTGTCCAAACCTTCTTGCCCTGACACTGTCCGGCTGTGCGCACATCACCGACCAGGACGTGGTCTCAGTGCTGCAGTGCTGCAAGAAGCTGCGCATCCTCCGCCTGGAAAACTGCGTCCGCATCACAGACCGCAGCCTGCAGGCTGTGGCAGAGCATGGGGACAGCCTGGAGGAGGTAAGAGTGGATTTCTGCAGAAACATCACTCAGGCGGGGCTGCAGAGCTGTAAGGAGATGAGACCAGGCATCCAGCTGAGTGCGGAGAGGAGTGCTGATATGATTCCTGATAGCAAGCCTGAGGAGAAGGAGCCACTGCAAAAAGCTTTACAGAAATTCCTCCTGTACTCCTGAAGAATGCTCTGACACCTTTATATGAGGACTTTGCACTGATAAATTTTCCCCCTTTTTGGAATTTTTTTGTAAATTATTCTTTCCTTTTCTTTTTTTTTTTTTTTTTTTATAATTTTATACATCTTTATTATTCATATTTGTATCTTATAAGGTTTTCTTATTACAAAGACACATAAACTCCTGTCAGAGTCTTACCCTGACTTCACATTCCCTCTAATTCTTAAGCTGATCCTGGAATACTGTAAATGTGCTTTTAAACCTGTTTAAATATACTAGAGGGATGATAACATGGACATTAAATAGAGAAGATTTATTCTGCTCCTACACAAAAGCTAAAAACTCATGAGAGCCTCTTCCTTTTAGTGACAAACGGATTTTCTTATCTTTGCTTGGTGTGTACGAAGAAAATAAAAACTCCCCTTTTTACGAGAAAGCATGTGTGAGGTAATTTCTAAGCAATATATTTCTTGGTAGCAGTGACTTCCTGAAAGCCTCTTATATCTGTTTATGTCAAAGGTCTGTTTACTGAAAGCATTGGATCATGAAATAGAATATACACTCAGGGGCGACTTTATTAGGTATGTCGTACCAGGTAGAACCAAACTTCTCCTTAAGGACTGATTTAACTCTTTGTGATGCACAGTAGGTTAAAAACAAGTATGAAAGACATGGATCATTTTTGGATGATTCACACAAAAGGTCAAAAATTTCCCTAATTAAGACTATTAATGTTTTATGAAAAAGAAATGTGAATGACACTGGGAACAATTATACAAACTGTGAAGATAAAGATGAGCAGAAAACTGTTGAAATCTGCCAGCATTCAGAAAGTGTTGTTGTTGCTTTGTCTAAATCAATACCAGCGACTTTAATATTAACTAGTGGCCATTGAAAAGGTTCCTCTTTTCCAAAGTGCTGCACATAATATTCACCTATAATTCATGTAACAATGTTATTTTATTTATATTTTTTTGCATGTATTATGCGCTTGGTTGTTGCTTGCCGATTATTTTTTATGTCAATAGAAACATGAGAGATATTTCAGCTCAATTACTCATTTCATGCATGAAATACTTATTTTTATCTGCAATGACTCCTGTAAAGTGCTAGAAAGCAAGAACACTTCCTCATGAATTTTGGTCCATATTGGAGTAAAGTTATAATGCAGTTGTTGCAGATTTGTCTGCTGCATGTGTGCATACCTGTCTGTCTGTCTGTCTGTCTGTCTGTCTGTCTGTCTGAGATATACTGATCCAAAATAAAATTATGTCTATTACACACTAATAGCCTCAATACAATTTCCCAAACCGATTTCTGTTCGATGAGTGGCTGCTCAGAGGTCAGACAATAAAAACCTATTAGCAATGATTTTAAAACGTCCTTAGCTGAGGACTTTCCAGAACAGACAGCTGGAGGCAAATCTATCTGCTTGTACACAGCTCAAAAAAAAAAAAATTAAGGATTTGGAAAGGTTGAGTTTAAAGATGATTTTAAAGATGGATCAGACATGCCGATTACTAATAACATCATCCTTATTTGTAATACAGCCTTCAGATGTGCTGTGTGATTATATTTGCTATGGATAATAGATTTTTGCCGCACTAAATTACTAATTACAATTTTTATAGTTTTTAAATCAAAATTCCAAAATTAATAGTTTCATATGTGATTATGGCACCTTGTCCTGGAAGCAGTTCAGAAAAAACAGGTTTGGGTTTAAAGGGATTCTGTCAAACATAGAAAACCCCTGTGTGCTCTCTGTTGAACCCCATTAGTGGTGTCTCTCTATCATTCAAATATAATATCAATGAAATGCTTTAAATGACTGTTCTTTTTTGCATTTTCTCATTAAACTTTTTTTTTAACATAATATTGTTCATAAACATTCACCAAACAACCCCATATTGGGGTGTTGGTGGAAGGCCTTTTAAATGAATCAGCTTTGGTCTGTTATGTTACCTCAGCTATGAGCGGAATGAGCAGAAAATAGTATATTAGCAACAGTTTTACAACTTAATCTTAAATCAAGATGAAAGGGTTTATTTCATGGCACTGATCCAGAGAATGTAATAAAGAAGAAAATGATTGAAATGGCTAGGGGGATGTTTCAGCTAAAACATTTGTGGAATGTATCTTTGCCTGTGCAGAAGAAAGATAGTTTAGTTAAATTTAAAACACATCTTTTACATTCCAGCTGAACAAGCCTTAAGAAAGGTAAAATCTCTACAAAATGTGAGCAAATAAACAATGGGATGATAAAATATCCCTTTGCGAACCGGATAAACATAGCTGAAGCAAATATTTGCAACAGGACTTTGATCACTTTGGTATCACTATAACCAATACACCAACATCAAAATGTGCATTTTAAATGTTACACTTGAGCTCTTTTTGTCTAAAATATACTATAATGCTTAGGAATTCACTACAGCACAGTGCAGGTGATATCCACTTAGTTTCTCCAGACTGTGTCTGGTTGCAATGTAGGTCAGTAGTAAAGATACTCCCATTATTAAGATGGATTATTGTTGGATTGTTTAAAGACATCAACAGATGGTGGAAAAACAGAAGGTCCAGAATTTTCAATTTATACTGGTTCATAATTATACATACAGACTCAAACTCTACCTACAGTTATATTAGGAAAGCCATTTCTTTGCAAACTGCATACAAAAAAAAATTTGTTAGTACAATTCTACCTGAATTTTTGTATACTTGCTATTAAAAATTGTATAGGTAATAGGTTTGTTTCCTTGCATGGACCTTGCCTTAAATCATAGCTCATAAATATTCTCAGGGGTTAAGAAATATTGACAGCATAATGGTTCCATCACCTTGCTTGACAGATTATTCTTTGGTTTGAAAGCCTCGCCTTGAGTCCTCCAAGCACACTTCTTCTTTTTGTCATCTAACTCCAGATGGTCAGCACATCTCTGCAGTTCAAGTGCAATAATCCAAGTCAACTACTGTGTAGTCTTTTCTTAGCTCTTTCCTGTGCAGATATTGTTATATCTAAAGGAAAAATATTCCAGGACATTTAAACTTTTCTTATGCTTGTCACAGTCTTGGTTCTGTTGTGTTTTCTTTTGAGTATTCACTTTTACTTTGCTCCGTGTTTTCTGGTTTGGTTGGTTTGGTTCTTATTTTCTTGTGTTTCTGGTTATATTTTAGGTTTTTATTTGTTGCCCTCTGTTGCCCTCTAGTGTTCTCCTTTTTCCCTAGCTCCTTTTCAGTCTGCTATGTTCACAGCTGCTCCCAATCTGCTCGTTAGACCTCTCTTTGTTCAGTAAATAAAAATAAACTCCTTGTGCAGTTCCTTAGTGCTGGTTCCTCCAACTCCATCTCACTGAGTCTTCCTTGTTGAGATAGTTTTTTCCCCTGATGTCTCCATGGTTTCTGGTTTGTTTGACTTTTTTTCACGTTTTACTTTTTGGATTTTGGATTCCTGCCTCTGTTGTCTGTTAACATGTTATTAAATCATCAAGAAACTCACCTCTGCCTCCCTGCCTCTGCATTTGGGTCCTCAAACCACAACCAAATCCTGACAACACTCTTCTGTACTATATACACTCTTTTTCTATTTTCTGTTGTATTTTTTATCTTTAACTGCATCTTGCTTTAACTTTGCCCGTTGTACTATATATAAGCCCATGGAACCAGAATTTCCCTGAAGGAGTAATCCAAAGGCTTTAATAAAGTAGAGCCTCAGTCTAAGTCTAAGTCTGAGTCACAGTCTAAGAACCGTTTTATTGGCTTGTTCATGTGGATTGCTTGAAATTTCAGTCATATTTTTAACAATATTTTCTTGGTCATCACAGAGCGATTTAGGTCCGTATTAATGTTAACCCACACAGGACAGTGATAGTTGTATGGTCCAAACCTGATACTGTGGGTCTTAATCATCCTAAACAGATTAACTGCTTCTTGATTAAATAAAGCTGGAGTTCAAGGAAAGGAAATAGCCCAAACTATCCTTAACATTTATGGACTGCATTGAAAACTAAAGTAAATGCCAAGAAAAAAGTTTAAAAACGCCAAGAACAGAGGTCAGGTGTCCTAAACGATGTCTGCCGGGGTTTCTCTGTAACCTGCTTAATGAGGTCATCAAATTAAAAGAGGGGTTTATAGAAAATCTTTTTATGAAGGATTTCTGACTTTTGAAAAAGAAAGGTTCAAATGATAAATAAAAGTCTGTAATACTGATAAGAGATAAAAGCCAAAAATAAGAGTATGTACATTTCAGACTGCCTCTGGCCCTCTTGTTATTCAGGCACACTGTTGCTCATAATTGAACTACAAAAATAACAAGAAATCAGGTCAATGATTCTATTTGGGAATCAAGCAAATTGCAACAGAATTGATTAAATTTGTTACCCTTGTTCTATTAGAATAACAAATTTCATTTTAAAAAACCCAACTGGAGCAAACAGGCCGCTTTAATCATAACAATTAGCAGCTTCATACTGGCCAAACAGTATCATGTGGAGCGACGACAGACCATTAATGGTAATGATAACACCGCTTTTCTCTTTGAAAGCCCGCTAGTCATGCAAATCAAAACCCCTTAACAAACGCGCATTGTATAATGGAATTGTGATCTGTTTTATTTTTGTTTGTTTATCTACAAAATTATGTATAATTCAACAGTGAAAACATTTGAACAGCTAAATGATTCTAGTCTTTAAACCTCTCTTAGTCGCATACGAAACTCATCTTTGACAGGCTTTGTTTGGATTTGACTATTTAATTATCTCACTAAAAAAATCTGTAGTAAATGAGCAAAAAGGAGTTCTGCTGCCTTGCTTTGATTTTAGAATTTGTTTTTTCTTAATATTCATCTCAACTCTAATACTGGATGACAAAAGGAAGCTGGAATTGAAAAGATAACTTGCTACTCTATCCAGTCCAAAAAAAGAAAATTTAAAAAAATCCGCTGGACATTGTTTCCAAGTTTTAAGACATTTTGCTGCTCATCCAATAAGCTTTTTCAGTTCAAAACGTCAGGAATGGCGTTGAGTTCGACGTACTCTACCCATTGAACCACAGTCTAATACTCAAGAGGTGTCAGATCTCAGAAAGGG